GTCGAAGGTTTGTGAAAGGGCAGCACACTCACAGTTTGTTGATTTCCTAGACCAAAATGGAAAAATTTCAAAACTGTTAAGTGGTAATAGGAGATTCCACACGACTGAAACTACTCAACTCTATTTCACAGATGAAATCCTTAAGAACATGGACGACAAAGAAAGTATCCGTGATCGTCCTTTTAGACATGTCTAAAGCGTTTGATAGCATACGTCATGATCTGATGCTGTCACAACTTCAGAGTATAGGTGTGTCTAATGCTACGTGCGACTGGTTTGGAAGCTACCTTTCACCACGAAACTGAGTTGTTAACGTGGCCCCATTCCGTCTCTAACCCCCTTCCCGTGACTGTGGGCGTACCACAAGGCTCAATTCTCGGACCAGTTATATTTTCACTGTATGTAAATGATCTGCTATGGGTCCCTACTCATTGCCAAGCAATGGGTTGTGTGAACGATTACAAAAATTTTGCTCAGCCTTCCCCCAAATCAAATTTCAGACGCAGTTATTGCATTAAATGAGGATCTTTTGGCAATTGTAAGATGGTGTTGTACAAACTCCCCAGTCATCAACCCTGATAAGACTAAGCTCCTGGTTATCGGAGTTCCGCAGATTACAAGAAGCCTACCATCTTTTTCGCCAGTTAAATTACTGGGCAAAAAGTTTAAACCTGTATTTGTGGCCAAGGATCTGGGTGTAATAATTGACTCCTCTCTAAGTTATAATGAACATGAGACCAAAACAGTTTCCGATTGCAGGCATAGATTAATTAGGATCAACAGAATCAAGCACCTTGATAGAAAGACGCTACTTTTACTAACTGATGCTTCTGTTTTCAGTAAATTGTTTTATTGTTCCATCGTATGAAGCAATACCTCTAAAACAAACGAAAAAAATTGCAATTAGTTCAGAACTTTGCCGGCAGGACAGTTCTTGGTCTCCGGAAGTATGATCACATTAAGTCACTTAGATGGCTTCCTTTATTGCTGATAAACTACTTTTGTGTCGAGCTTCATGGGTTTCTCGATGCGCCCGCGGTACTTCCCAAGGCTGATGACTTAGTGTACGCTACAGGTGGAGATAACTCTTTTAGTGGAGAAGAAATTGTGCCAACAAAAAGCAGTACTGAATTACTTAGTGATTCTGTGAGGTAGATTTACTGATTACGGCACATATAGCTTTGGGACAATTATAAGGAGAATTTGGTATAGACAATTGAGCATAATTAAAAAGGAAAATCATAAACGAAAGTCAAAACAGCTCGCGCTCAGCTGAATATGGCACATGGAGCACAAAGTCTAATGGTAAAGTAGGCAATGCTGTTTTTTAAAGACGTAAAAAAAAACGCGTTAACGCGCCTGTTTTTTAAAGGATTTTAGGCCTCCTAAGATTTGCTTTTTTGTGGACTGGATTGTTGTGACCTAGTAAAAAGGATTCATTGAAGAGTACTGACAACACCCTATACAGTCAGGCCGATGGGATTTAAGAACAAAGAACAAACATCTACATTTCGACCTATGTTTGGCTTCATTTTTTAAGGGCCTGTTTACAAGGAGAAAGGGTTTGTTACCCTTGTGCTAGGGTAAACCCTAGCAAGCCGGTTAAAGTTAGCTCTGATTAACAAGTAGACTGCGAGCAGTCTCTCTTTGTCTTCAGATTTAGTAAGGGGAGTGTACGCGCGCGCGAGCGTTGAGCGGCGAAGCCGCGAGACGCAAGAAACGAGGGCGGCAACCCGAGAAGAAAAAATAGAGACTGCCCGCATAGCCAGACCCATAGCCTGCGTAGCCTGTGTACAGCCGCCCCTCCCCTCAAAACAATCGGAAAGGAGCGTCTGTGATTTACCGTTGATAATCGTGTTCAAAGACCACGTGACTTTTTCAGGAATGTGTGAAAAATGATTTGATTGGTTTAATATTTCCCATACATCATTACATTACTGAAATAGCGAGATTTGATTGGCTTTCATTTTCGCGGGCTTTGCAATCGGAGCCTTTCCAAGAGAGGACTTAGACTTGAACTGAAGTCCCCGTTGAACACACAAGAGGCCATTCAATATAGTACAAGTCAATAAGTCGTTTGTACGGTGCTGGTAACTGTTGGCTACGATTCAATGGCGTTTGATAAGTTAGTAAACCAGCTTTGTTATAGTAAGTCGTTGGTAGTAGTCTGTAAAATAGGTAATACATGTCGCCGAGTCCCAGTCGATTTGATGTTTGGTCTGTAAATGGTGTTCAGCAATGTGATTGTTGACGTCGCCATTTCTCGTCGTTCGTTTGTGTTCGAAACATCAGTCACTGTCAACAACAACAGTCCTATTCAGGACTACGTTCACCCCGGCGGTAAACGACAGATTCAAGTTGAGAAACTCTCAAAATGGAAAATGAGCAAACAAAAACGGTTTAAAAAATTCCCGTGAATAAAACTGGCGTGAAACAACTAATTTCTGTGTAGAAGTAATGTACGGTAAACGACAAGTAAAGAGAAAACTTGGTCACGTGATACAAATTCACGTTTGCTGTTGGTCGTAAACGTCACGCTAAAACCCCCTTAGCCCCCAAATCAAGGATGACAGTGAAACCGCGGAAGCCAAACCTAAGCCATTTTTCCGTCTTTGATTGGGAGGTAGGAAAGACTGGAAATTGTAGCTTCATAACACGACACAATACGAGTTCAACAGTTGGTCAAAGAACCCACCAGAGTCACTGAAAGGTCACAAACTCTTGTTGACATACCCTTAACAACAAACGAGAACATTGTTAATGCTTTCGAGATGAAATCATCAACAATCAGCGACCACGCCCAAACCGCGTTTTTCGTACATCACCGCAAGAAGCTACAAGAATCATGATAACGCTCAATTAATTGACGACTTGGCTAGTGCTTCATTTCACATAGCTGACATTTTTTATGATTTGGATGATCAAGTTCATGTGTTCAATTCTCTGTTTTTGGGCGTACTTAACGAACACGCACCAATACGGCGAGTAAAAATAAAATCAAGACCTAATCCTTACTACACACCTGAAATTCAACAGCTGATGAGAACTCGTGATAAGTGGCACAAGAAATCCAAATTCCATTTGGAAAGTCCTAAATCGTTGCCTGGTTCGTTAAGATTCACCATTAAGCACAAGAGAAGATCCTTTTTCTCAAGCGAACAAATTCAACGAGTATTACAGTATGTGGTCCTTGGTCTGCGTGTAAAAGTCATTTACTTGAATATCTCACCCGAATCTTCATGTAAGGAGCTGAAATACTCCCTGAAGATAGCTTTTATGTTCCTGTCTATAATCCTGAAGTTTCAAGTTCCAGACATAAATATTTTGCTAGGAATTCGCAAAAAGGCGACCGTTTTCGATGGTCCTTGGTCCGCGAATCTGGTCCTTGGTCCCCGTCTCAGGTAAGAAGCACGATAAAAACGTAAAAATGTTATAGTTTCCACACGAAAACGTGATTTTCACAGCATTTCTTGTATTTTTTTCTTTTCTTGATGCAATTAAGCTAAAGTTTTTTCGGAAGATACTGTGAGCATAAAATAATCCGCTTTTCTTTCAAAGACTTCTGACAACAGTCTCCTCGAGTCTCCCACACGAGCGTCGACGAGCGGTTTTTAGCGCGGTCGAAAATAATTACCAAAAACTCTGTATGTACTCGAGGTATTAAAGAAGAGAACTTGTAGACATGTATAGGGACGACTTTCAAAACATTCTTCGAAAACAAAGGCCGTCGCTTTTTACTTTGGAAAGTTTTATTCAACCAAGGTCATAGGACGCGGACCAAGGACCGCTAAGCGAAATTTGGTGATATTTTTCAAGAGTCGCTAAAGCAAAAAATTTAGCGTCTACAGCAATATGCTTCCAACAGGAGAAATAAGTTGATCTGAAAACCTGTTCTGCCAAAAGGCAAGTCTTCCCGTTGCGTTTTAGTTATTCGTAGGCTAAGTAANCCCCCCCCCGCCCCCCCCCCCCCCCTCGAGCTATAATCCCCGACACCCGCCCCCTCGGTACCTTTGAAAATCAAGATACCCGTGACGGTAAGACGCGGTATATCTAAACGATCTCACGAAAAATAGGGGAATGTGAACAGTGTACTGGCAGGTAGTCTCTCTTTTCTCGTGCCTCTCCCGTCTCGCGCCTTCAGTCACGCGCGTGGTCATTTGCGTGTCTCGGGCGTTTTGCTCGACGGACCAAGAAAAAAGAGAGACTGCTCGTAGTCTGGTTTACAAGCAAATTTCTCAGGAAGGGCTACCTACTTTACCACCTTTCCTGACGTGTTTCGCATGCGTGACATTCTTTGTAAGTCCAAGATTTGATATAAAACTTGAAGTTGGAAAAAACGTCAAATTCACGAAAAAACGGGAAAATATGATCATCGTATACAGAAAATACCTTATATTGTTCAGATGTTTATAATTTAGCTCAGGAATTGGATAATTCCGTTCAAATTGTCAAGATTATTGGTCACGCATGATGGAGAAAAGTTGTTCCGGGTAGGCAAGTTATCCCTAGCAGAGCGTTTACAAGGCAGGTAGGGTAACTCTCTTGCTAGGGTAACCCTAGCACCGAGGTAGGGTTACCCCAGCGCTAGGGTAACCCTACTTGCCTTGTAAACACGTCGTGTAAAAAAAAGAAGAAATGTGCGAGTGCTAGAGTAACCTTAGCACCAGGCGGTTATCCTCCGTTGTGGCATGATGCGACAGTTTTTTAATCTCACTTCAAGAATATTGTTTTTAATTTCTAAAGACTTTTGTTGGAAAGATAATGATAATGACCGTTGATTGTTTCAGTTCGCGACCAGTGATATATATAGTTTGTGATTCGCTTTTGGCTAATTCAATCGTTTGTTATTTTTTCTGACCAATCAAATTTCGCTTTTCACAATCTACGGACCAATCAGATGTTTCCTTTTTTTACAGTAAAGGAGAGTTAAAGCGTCAGTTTAAAGCCACAAACAAAACACTTTCATCAACTGTCGCGTGGAGCTGAACGCTGCAAGAGACATGGTTCGTTTAAACATGAAAGACGAAATAGAAAGCAAAACTGCACCGATAAACAATGGCTGTTTAAACGGAGACAAGAAGAAAACGCATTACAGGATTAGAGATCAAGCCGCTCGGTCAGAAATGAGGTCATTGCAGTTTTCGCTTCACGGGCGCAATCCGAACGCAGACATCGCGAGCAGCATCCAGTTGGCGCGACGAATCCGAGGGGTACAAACATGAAAAAATAGACTCAAGAATGATCCAGGACTAATGGATTACACTCAAGCAGTAGATAAATGCGAGCCGGATGATTTAAAGAACGATTGTTTTCCCCGAGGAAGAGACTTGCTGCCGAAAGGTTCACCGATTGTGAGATTGCTAACTGTTACATCTACGAGAAATTATTGACTTGCTGATTCAAGTTTGAAGTTTGTGTTAAAAGGCAAAAATGCAGAATACTGAACAAATAGCTTGACACTTCGCTCAAGAGTTTCACAAGCCATCTGGAAATAGTTGAACTCAAAAACGCAAGCACGCACGTGTCATGTATCGCGCATTTTCACGACTTTTCATTGTTTGGGCAATTTTCAAAGCCTTTGTTCCAAACCTAATGCGACGCTAATCAATAAGAAAGCTTTCTTTGCATTTCATTTTCCTGTTTTAAGATGTCTTCTTCGAGANTCGAGTTGATCCTTTTGTTGTCGAGCAAGATAAAATTATATTCTGGGGATAAATATTTTAAACTACGCACCATGGCCAGATACTTGAGGATAGTTTTCATAAATTCTTAGCAACAATTGTTTAAGTATCGCATTGCCCTTCTTTGTGAAAGCTAAAACCGTAGGCAACAAAATTTCATAAAATAAAACCACTCCAAGACAGCGGCGGTATTTAGGGGAAAAACAATGAAAAGATTCAATACAGAACGCGAACAAATCTACCTAGAAGTCAAGCGCAAAACTTTATAAAGAAACCATTTTGTTTGAAATTAATTCTAAAGGGAATTTTAACGAGGCCTTTTTCCTGACTACCTCAAACTGAACAGTCTAAGTCTATATCAAGCAGTTTTAAAAAATTGCATTTTTACTATCTTAGCATTATGTAACAGCAGAAGTATTACCAGTTCAATTAACGGCGGAGTTCGATGCAAAAGCAAGCAACCTTGACTGCCTTCACTGGCCCTAAATGTCTTAGCAACGGAACGAAGAAAAATTCGCTTAAGGTCGGCGCGAACAACGGTTTTGAAAATGAGCGAACGATTCTCCGTAAAGAGACATGCGCGGAATGAACCGGTCTCTGGCGCGGGTAAACAAACATTTAACACAATCGATCCAGTCGACTTGTAACAAGTCTAAATCGATCCATTTACCGGCGGGAAAATCAGCAGTGTCCGCCAAGCGCAGGTGATACGCATGACACAAGCCGCGGTTGCTTGTAGCTGGTGCATCCAAATGATGAAGAAAATACTGTAAACAAATTGACTACGTCTGAAGTAACATGGTGTCAAGAACTTAATTAAAATTTATTTTGCCACCCTTAATAAATGACATATCTTGACTAATTTTGTATTTTACATTTAGCGATTGTAATCTCCTTGTTCCACAATCGACGGAATCAGTGCATGGTTGTCAGAAAAACCAGTCACACAATCGCACGATCCTTGGCGAGGATATCATAAACTGTACGCTTTCTCTCTAAGTCGTAAGCTTAGCTCAGGTTACCTAGCAACCAATTAAACGAAAAGCGCGGAATTCAGACCTCAAACCTTTCGGGTTCGAATTTCGAGACCAAAAGCTTTACTCTCCGATTGAGTTAATAACTTCTTTTTTTCTATTTGGGCGTGTTTGATGAAAATACTGCGACGGAGTGTAACCGATATGAGCCATAATCTTCTAGCAAATCTTTCTTGTACTTCTTGAATTCATTGTATTTCATCAAGACGCTACAAAGAGAAAATGCGGACGATCAGTAGAGTAGAAGGCATTAAAATCATCATCAACAACAACTCTTCATTACAAAATTCTCCCTACCATTTCACACACGGAACCACTGGGTACTGCACAAACAGTGTCTTATTGGCTGTTTACTTGGAGGAATGAAGATCCTAGAAGGAGGATCACCGGGCTACTCTCCTAGCGCAATATGTTTCCTGTCTTCGGTTTACATGCAAAGGGTTTTACTTGTCGCTAGTAATAGGAAGATCCTAGCATCATATAAACTGCCTTCGCTAGAAAGATCTTAGTACTTGGGACAAACAAGACAAACATGGTGGCGGGTCGTTTATTGGCTAAAAACGGCCGGCCATTTCGTTTGGCGATGGCACGAGCTGATAATTGTGATAATTCTTCTGATAGGTAGTTATTAACGCCAGTAAAGAGAGCAGAAGGGCCCAAATTGCACTTTTGTTTTTGTCGCCCGCCAATTTTAATTCTTTCTCCAACCTTCTCTTCTGGGGCATTACACGGACCGAAATTTCCGCATGTAAACCCAACGTTTTAGTTCCGCCTTCTAGGATCCTCCTGGTGCTAGAACCTTCCTCCCTCCATGTAAACCGCAGCCGTTAACCTCCTGTAAGCGGGTACCGTTGAGATCAGAAATAGTTGCTTCCAGCTCGCGCTCTGCGCTCATTCCCATCACCCCTCTCTAGCGCTTCTCGCTTGTTCCGTGTTCGCCACTAAGCCTTAGGAACTGTGGAGGAGACAGGTCACTGGCTCACTGGGAAGTGTCCGCTTACTGGAGATGTTCGTTAGTTAAGGTTCCGCTGTAGCTTTGAATGGCAACAATGTAAAAAAAAATTGTCGTGAACTCACCAAACGGATCAGAACCAAAAGGATTGCTGAAAGGGTCCTTCGCAGAAGAGCTCAAGTCTTTGCTGTCTGTGGTTTTCTTAGAATCTGAACTACTTCCAGATGGTTTGAAGGGATCTGAGCTAAAGAAGTTATCTGTCGAACTCTGTAAGAGACGTAAACAGGTAAAAAATCCTTAAAAAGGTTGTAACAAATTCACCGCATTGAAATTTCATCAGAAAGCCTTTTTTTGATATCAGGAACGCCTTCCAGATTTAATAAACCCTGTTTTTTTTTACGGTAAAGTGTAAAGAAAATCACATTATGTCGACTGCGAATGTGAAATCAAATAGAGAAACGGAGAGCGTTGCTCTGCCAAATGAACTTGGTTACTTACCTTGCTACTCGGGAATGTACTTTGAAATGGATCCATAGCAAAAGGATCTGATTTCGAAGGTGAAGCAGATAATCCTACAGGTAAGAAAAAAAAAGTACACATCACATACTGATTTTCTCAAAGCCCCTTACGAAAGAGCGTAGTGAAAACAAAACGAAAGCAATTTCTTCTGGCCAATCACAAAACGAGCAAACAATCAAATAAACCAATCAAAACTCGCGACAGATACAATAAGCAGGCTCTAAGCCCGGGAGGCACGTGCGCATGAGTGAGGATGTCACATGTAGTTTTGGTTTAACTTCTGATTGGTCAGAAAGTAGCGCGTGATTTTTCAGCCAATCATAAGTCAACTGTGTGTGGAAAAAGGAAAAGTGCGCAAGCACGATGATTAAAAAGCATATCAAGGCAAAAGTAATGCAGCCAAGATTTACCTCGTCTGAAACTCGAGACTTACCGTTCGATATTCCTGTTGCAGTGCCGTTAGCCTCGCCACGTGCTGGTAAGTCGCTTTTAAAGGGGTCACTTTTGAACAAATCTTCACCCTGACAGACGAATAGGAAAACTTAATATGTACACTTCCTACGTCCTATAATGAAACCAATTAAGACTACTAGAATTTGGGATAACATTCCAGACACGACTTCCACAACAGAAGTGTAGAAGCAAACCATGCCGTTGCATTGAGGTTGGAAGAGCCAGCGTACGTACTCTAGAGAAGAATTAAGGTTTTTGTACGTCTAGCGGTCAAACGAATGCAAACTGTTTCAGTCTAATGTATGCACCTTGTTACAAAATGGCGTCAAATTTTGTTATTCTTTTGTCATCACGATAATTGGCCCTAAATGCATCGTTTCAAGGTAAAAACTCTTATGAATTTTGCAGATGCGAGTAAGGCAAAGAGGGCTAATAAACAATTATTCCTCGAGCCGAATGGGCTCTGAGTCAATAACCCACTCAGAGGCTATGAGGACGAGAGGAATAATTGTTTTCGTAAAATCCAACTAGTTGGTCAAAAATATCGAGACAAAAACTTTAGCTAGCAAAACGCGTTTCCAAAGCCGGCGCTTTTCGCTACTAGTGGGCTATAACATATAGCCTAGCAATAGCTCAAACAATCAGAACGCAGCATTGATAATACACCACTAGTTGGATTTTACTAATTAACATAAGAAAAAAAATTTAGACTACGCACCATGGCCAGATACTTGAGGATAGTTTTCATACATTCCTAGCAACAATTGTTTAAGTATCGCATTGCCCTTCTTTGTGACAGCTAAAACCGTAGGCAACAAAATTTCAATGTCTGTACAAAAAATAAAACCACTCCAAGACAGCGGCGGTATTTAGTGGAAAAACAATGAAAAGATTCAACACAGAACGCGAACAAATCTACCTAGAAGTCAAGCGCAAAACTTTTTAAAGAAACCATTTTGTTTGAAATTAATTTTAAAGGGAATTTTAACGAGGTCTTTTTCCTAACTACCTTAAACTGAACAGTCTAAGTCTATATCAAGCAGTTTTAAAAAATTGCACTTTTACTATCTTAGTATTATACAACAGCAGAAGTATTACAAGTTCAATTAACGGCGGAGTTCGATGCAAAAGCAAGCAACCTTGACAGCCTTCACTGGCCCTAAATGTCTTAGCAACGGAACGAAGAAAAATTCGTTTAAGGTCGGCGCGAACAACGGTTTTGAAAATGAGCGAACGATTCTCCGTAAAGGAGACATGCGCGGAATGAACCAGGCTCTGGCGCGGGTAAACAAACATTTAACACAGTCGATCCGGTGGACTTGTAGCAAGTGTAAATCGATCCATTTACCGGCGGGAAAATCAGCAGTGTCCGCCAAGCGCGGGTGATACGCATTACACAAGCCGTGGTTGCTTGTAGCTGGTGCATCCAAATGATGAAGAAAATAAACAAACTCACTACGTCTGTAGTAACATGGTGTCAAGAACTCAATTAAAATTTATTTTGCCACCCTTAATAAATGACATATCTTGACTAATTTTGTATTTTACATTTAGCGATTGCAATCTCCTTGTTCCACAATCGACGGAATCAGTGCATGGTTGTCAGAAAAACCAGTCACACAATCGCACGATCCTTGGCAAGGATATCATAAACTGTACGCTTTCTCTCAAGTCGTAAGCTTAGCTCAGGTTACCTAGCAACCAATTAAACGAAAAGCGCGGAATTCAGACCTCAAACCTTTCGGGTTCGAATTTCGAGAGCAAAAGCTTTACTCTCCGACTGAGGTAATAACTTCTTTTTTTCTATTTGGGCGTGTTTGATGAAAATACTGCGACGGAGTGTAACCGATATGAGCCATAATCTTCTAGCAAATCTTCCTTGTACTTCTTGAATTCATCGTATTTCATCAAGACGCTACAAAGAGAAAATGCGGACGATCAGTAGAGTAGAAGGCATTAAAATCATCATCAACAACAACTCTTCATTACAAAATTCTCCCTACCATTTCACACACGGAACCACTGGGTACTGCACAAACAGTGTCTTATTGGCTGTTTACTTGGAGGAATGAAGATCCTAGAAGGAGGATCACCGGGCTACTCTCCTAGCGCAATATGTTTCCTGTCTTCGGTTTACATGCAAAGGGTTTTACTTGTCGCTAGTAATAGGAAGATCCTAGCATCATATAAACTGCCTTCGCTAGAAAGATCTTAGTACTTGGGACAAACAAGACAAACATGGTGGCGGGTCGTTTATTGGCTAAAAACGGCCGGCCATTTCGTTTGGCGATGGCACGAGCTGATAATTGTGATAATTCTTCTGATAGGTAGTTATTAACGCCAGTAAAGAGAGCAGAAGGGCCCAAATTGCACTTTTGTTTTTGTCGCCCGCCAATTTTAATTCTTTCTCCAACCTTCTCTTCTGGGGCATTACACGGACCGAAATTTCCGCATGTAAACCCAACGTTTTAGTTCCGCCTTCTAGGATCCTCCTGGTGCTAGAACCTTCCTCCCTCCATGTAAACCGCAGCCGTTAACCTCCTGTAAGCGGGTACCGTTGAGATCAGAAATAGTTGCTTCCAGCTCGCGCTCTGCGCTCATTCCCATCACCCCTCTCTAGCGCTTCTCGCTTGTTCCGTGTTCGCCACTAAGCCTTAGGAACTGTGGAGGAGACAGGTCACTGGCTCACTGGGAAGTGTCCGCTTACTGGAGATGTTCGTTAGTTAAGGTTCCGCTGTAGCTTTGAATGGCAACAATGTAAAAAAAAATTGTCGTGAACTCACCAAACGGATCAGAACCAAAAGGATTGCTGAAAGGGTCCTTCGCAGAAGAGCTCAAGTCTTTGCTGTCTGTGGTTTTCTTAGAATCTGAACTACTTCCAGATGGTTTGAAGGGATCTGAGCTAAAGAAGTTATCTGTCGAACTCTGTAAGAGACGTAAACAGGTAAAAAATCCTTAAAAAGGTTGTAACAAATTCACCGCATTGAAATTTCATCAGAAAGCCTTTTTTTGATATCAGGAACGCCTTCCAGATTTAATAAACCCTGTTTTTTTTTACGGTAAAGTGTAAAGAAAATCACATTATGTCGACTGCGAATGTGAAATCAAATAGAGAAACGGAGAGCGTTGCTCTGCCAAATGAACTTGGTTACTTACCTTGCTACTCGGGAATGTACTTTGAAATGGATCCATAGCAAAAGGATCTGATTTCGAAGGCGAAGCAGATAATCCTACAGATAAGAAAAAAAAAAAGTACACATCACATACTGATTTTCTCAAAGCCCCTTACGAAAGAGCGTAGTGAAAACAAAACGAAAGCCATTTTTTTCTGGCCAATCACAAAACGAGCAAACAATCAAATAAACCAATCAAAACTCGCGACAGATACAATAAGCAGGTGCTAAGCCCGGGAGGCACGTGCGCATGAGTGAGGATGTCACATGTAGTTTTGGTTTCACTTCTGATTGGTCTAGAAAGTAGCGCGTGATTTTTCAGCCAATCATAAGTCAACTGTGTGTGGAAAAAGGAAAAGTGCGCAAGCACGATGATTAAAAAGCATATCAAGGCAAAAGTAATGCAGCCAAGATTTACCTCGTCTGAAACTCGAGACTTACCGTTCGATATTCCTGTTGCAGTGCCGTTAGCCTCGCCACGTGCTGGTAAGTCGCTTTTAAAGGGGTCACTTTTGAACAAATCTTCACCCTGACAGACGAATAGGAAAACTTAATATCTACACTTCCTACGTCCTATAATGAAACCAATTAAGACTACTAGAATTTGGGATAACATTCCAGACACGACTTCCACAACAGAAGTGTAGAAGCAAACCATGCCGTTGCATTGAGGTTGGAAGAGCCAGCGTACGTACTCTAGAGAAGAATTAAGGTTTTTGTACGTCTAGCGGTCAAACGAATGCAAACTGTTTCAGTCTAATGTATGCACCTTGTTACAAAATGGCGTCAAATTTTGTTATTCTTTTGTCATCACGATAATTGGCCCTAAATGCATCGTTTCAAGGTAAAAACTCTTATGAATTTTGCAGATGCGAGTAAGGCAAAGAGGGCTAATAAACAATTATTCCTCGAGCCGAATGGGCTCTGAGTCAATAACCCACTCAGAGGCTATGAGGACGAGAGGAATAATTGTTTTCGTAAAATCCAACTAGTTGGTCAAAAATATCGAGACAAAAACTTTAGCTAGCAAAACGCGTTTCCAAAGCCGGCGCTTTTCGCTACTAGTGGGCTATAACATATAGCCTAGCAATAGCTCAAACAATCAGAACGCAGCATTGATAATACACCACTAGTTGGATTTTACTAATTAACATAAGAAAAAAAATGGTTTTATTGCAATCATTTTGGAGTAAGGTGTTTAGTTGGGAAAATGTTTTGGATCAATACTATTGTAACCAGCCATGTTATTTGCTTCTCACCTCAAAAGGATCCGCTGTGAACGGGTCTGCGAAGGAGACGCTTTTATAATGAAATGGGTCTGTCTTGAAGGGGTCATCCACGTGAAAGGGGTCGTTAGATTCTGAAATAGAAGAGAGAGTTCATGTTTATTCGCTTTTACTTTCGTAACAAATGAATATACCGTCAGAACTTGCATGCACTGTCAAAGAGCGATTTGTCTCACGATTTTTAATGATAAGAAGCGACCAAAACACTTCCATGCCAACGAGGGAACTCTCATGTTGGCGTTTGAGAATTTTGGCTTATGATGTGCAAATATCGATTTCGAGACAAACACGACTATGTGAATGATCGCTAGCCGTTTAACTAGTTTATCAAAACAAGTGAACAAACAATTTTCACAGCTCAGCGAACAGAAGCAAACGCCCGAAGCGACTCGCTTGGGTTCTGTCGTCTTTGACGTCATCCGCTTTTCGGCAATCTGATAGGTCAATCCAGCAAAGCACTTTCCACATTAGGGATGCTTTTAGTGAGAAAACACTTGTGGATGAACACTGATATTGAGACTCTCGGGAGAAACGATTTTCAAGGACAACTGGATAGGACTCTGGGAGATAACAATGAGCTAGAAAAAACATCAGTCAATCATTGAAAACCATGGTGCGCGTTGGAGCTTACCTGCTTCTGAGGAACTAAATAAATTTTCTTTACTCTTGAAGGGATCTGAATCCTAAAAGAGAAAAGATTTATCTATGTTTCATTTGCTCTTTAAGTCTTAGCTAATCAGAAGAAAGACTTCCGGCAAAACAGGACTGTAGAACTAACTATACCTTAAAATCGTCCACAGCTTCATCAACTCGACCAGATCCAACACTAAAACCACTAATACTACTTACGGGACTGCTTCCTGCCTACAGAAAATCAAACAAAGAAAAATTTAAGACACTACATTTTTATGGTTGAGAATGGCTAACTCTTTTAATGGCTGTTTAGTTTGACACCGTTTAAATTAACCAATCAGAGCAAAAACGGATCTAACGCAAATACCTAATTTTATTCAGAGGCAAATCCAGAGGAGGGGCCTGGGGGGGCCGGGCCTCCCCCTTATTTTTAGACCAAACTGAGGTCCGAGGGGCTGAAAAACTTTTTCTGAGACCGCTCCCTTTATCTCAGGGTCTGGAAGACCACCCCCGCCCCCCTCCCCCTTATCTGAAGGTCTCGATTTTTTCCTTTCAGAAAGCTTTGTTTTCTTTATTACTCAGTGCAGTCTATCGAAATGAAATACTGTTGCCCTTTTGTACATGAGTTGAGCGAAACTGTAGTTCATTCTCGTAGCTTACCGTTGCTCTAACGCTCATAGCGTCCGCTTCAGAAGGAGTCGGTGTCATATCAAAGGCATCATGAAGTGGTGTAAAATCAGGAATAGGGGCGGGACCACTGGCTACGCTATTTGAGTTCATCAGAGAGTTGTAATGCGCAATATTAGCGTTTAGACTATTGTTCGTTTCTTCCAGCGTTGACACCTTTGATCTAACCTACAAAACCAATTGATACTATCAACGATACATAAGGAACTAAAATTTACAATCAGGGCCCAGTTGTTCAAAGGCCGATTAGCGCTTAACCTAGGGTTAAATTTAACCGAGGGTTTCTTTTTCTTTTGTTCAAAGCATTTTCTTCAACAATTTTCTCTGTTATTCTTGAGAGCATCCAATCATCAACTTGCAGACAGAAAGAGTTAAACTGAAGTTACTTTTTAAGCTTTCAAATCTGAATTCAAATTTCGCACTAACCCCGGGTTATCTTAACCCAGCTTTGAACAACCCGGCCCAGGCAATTAGAGTGACTGCATTGAGAGAAACGTTTGTATTCAGGACTGTCAGGAAATGAATGTGATGGCATGGATTAAAATAACAAAGACAAACACTACGGAAGCAAAGAAAAGCATTTTGTCTCCAGAAAATGTTCCGTCTAAACAATGCTAAAAACAAGCTGAGAAGAAAATCACTTACAACAAAGCCTTTGCATTATTTCTTAAATTTAGATTTACAAACGGCTGACAAATATCATATTAGAGTTTCCTTTTTTTGGTAATGTTACATCTAGTTGTGCAAATACAAGATAATCTCTTCCCAAATACTATCGGCTGTATCTCCTACATGACAGTTAGCCTTTCAACAAAAGTTGTGACTTCTGCCAGTAACTGAATGAGTCAATAACAGGAGTGAAACGACTGGGAACTGTTCCTGAACCAAGTACTGATCTACTTGAAGTAATGATTTTGTTGATAAGCAGGGTATCTCTGGTCTCCTTCGCGACCGCTCGCGAGTGCGTCACGCAAAGCTCCGGGGAGAAAACGTGACTCCGGCTCGGGCGGCTGCAAAGGAGCCTGCGGTACCTCTACCTCAACCAGAGAGGTCCCACCTAAAATAGTCTGCCTCGCAGCCGTTTTTTGGATGTCACGCAACGCTCCCCCAAGAGCGTTGCGTGACATCCAAAAAACGGATGCAAGGGAGACTACACCTTAAATGGCCCTGTTGTGATCGTTACCTGTGATAATTCTGTCTGAACAGATTTGATTTGTTTCTGTACAGCCTCCAAATGTTCTTTACTTGATTCGATCTGTTAAAAAATAGCAAGGCATACAATTTCGGTTTAAGTTACTGAGTCAGTCATTTCCTTTTAAGAAATAATAGTTTATAAACGAATTTGGAGAAGAGAGAAGAAGATAGCACCTTCTGGCAAAGTGACGAGAATAGAAAAAAAAGAAAAAGGAGAGAAAGAAAAAGAAGACAGCATTTCCCCCCATTTTATAAGGTCATTATTTCTTACTTCTCGTTCAAGTTTCGTTTCATCCTCTCTCAGCTTGTTTAATTCGTCTCTTGCTTGACTTAATTCTTCCTCTTGGTGCTAGAAAATAGGAAACGAAAGGAAAATTTTTACTAAAAAAAATAAGTTTAGATCGTTACAAACATTTTTTCCCCTAGGGAGTGGGGCGATTCTACTTACCAGGGCTGACTGTCTTGAAGAGGCAATTTGCGCTTGTAAACTGTTTATCTAACAAGAAAAACAGCAAAAATTCACTTTACTGAATTTTGGTTGGATATAGAACTGTTTTCTTCTGACAACTCTTTTAGCCATAAGCTTCTAGCTGTTTAGTTGTTATTCACTACCTAGTTGCGTGGAAGAGGTTCGAAGACGAGAGAGGGAAAGAGAAAATCAGACGTGCGAAAACACGAAGGGCGCGCGTGAAAACGAATGGCGCGTAACACACAGGTGAATCATTGTGGCGACCGTGAATGCCATAAAACAACAACCCTGAACTTGAATGGGTCTGACTAGTCAGTCAGATCACGCCCAAAACACTATCCATTCTTGATATTTGTTATTTTCCTTTTGTCCTACGATGTCTTTTGTGCAAAAACAACAACAACAACAAAAAGGTGATAGGAAGGCTGGTGTCAAAGCAAAATACTCACAGTTTTTGTTTCTTCGTCACATTTTTGTTTGGCATCCTTCAGCATCTCTTCATATTTAGCTTTCTGGGAATAAAAGAACAACACCCATTACTCTCCTGCACCGTTTATACCACAATTATACGTTTTTGACTGCAAATAAATCATTTTGCACTCTCTCTAAAATATAGCGAGGATTGCCGCATGCCAGGTGAGCGAGCTTCAAACGTCCGTCACGACACAACACATCAGCAGAAAAAAAAACATCTTTCATTCTAACCTCCTTATCCAACTCATCGAGCTTGCTCTGAGCGTCAGCCTTCTGTTTCTCTAATTCTTGGTACTTTACTTTGGTTTTCTCCAGCTCAGTTTGTAGATTCTGCGCCCAAATAAACAACAGATGTTAGTTTTCTGCTTATCTATGCACCATTCCCTCTTGGTACAGCCTTGTCTTTCCTTTACTTTCTTTCCAAGCTAAGTCCTAAGACAGTTAAAAATTAAGTACGTATGGTTTTAACGTCTATTATGATGCTGCTGATGACGACGAGGTCTCTTTACCGCGGCACGATTAGCTCAGTCGGTAGAGTGCTTGACCGCTGAGCGGAAGGTCGCGGGTTCGATTCCCGAGGCCGGACCAATACTCAGTGTCTCAAAAATAACTGAGAAAGCCTTTGCCCTGCAACGAGGCGTAGAAATAGTGTCCTCAATTAACACTTTCGCGCAAACTACATTGACACTCAAACAAGTACAATTTTGTATGATGATGATGATGATGATGATGATGATTGTCGTTGTCATTGTCTTCCCCCTCCTCCTCCTCCCCCCTCATTTTTACCATAATCATCAATGTCATAGTCATCGTCATCATCGTCATTAGGGCCATTTATGCGAGGAAAAATAGACGCGTCTTACATAAAACGCGTCTTGAATAAGACGCGAACTTTCCGAATAAACGGCACATTTCGTCTAAAATAAGACGCGACTTAGGTAAGACGCGTCTTATTTTAGAACAGCCCTTAACACCTGTTCTTAGATAAGACGCGTCTTTGCTAAGACGAGAAATTTTCGTATAAATGACCTTCACGTCTTCGATAAGACGCGAACGCATAGTACGCATGTGTTAATTTTTGGCGCGCCATGTTGGATGGCCGTTGCTACGGGCAACATTCACATGAAAACGAGTCAAGAACAGAAATAAGACGCGAACCATTTATACGAGCTGTTCTCGTCTTAGATAAGACATGCTGGTATAAATGCTACAGTTCGCGTCTTATTTTTCCTCGTATAAATGGCTCCATTCTGTCTCTCTATGCTAGAAGGCACATAAGGACGTGTTGCAACATCGACGTGTGTGCAAAGTGGTCGCAAGACTGTTCTACTGTGTACGGGAGTCCAATGGAGACTACTTGGTGAGTAAATGGATACACTAAGAATCCCCATTTTTGGCAAGATGTCTTAAAAAGAAAAGATTGCAGCAACGGTAATAAATGGAGAAGGATCACGTGATCGTTTTGCAGTAAACAACAACAACTAAACTATATTGGCAATGATACAGTTCACTAATGTTACATCAATATCGAACTACACCTGTATTTCTCCATTTCTTTGTCTAATCATGTCCTCTTTTTCTTCTATTTCACGCTGTAGATTGGCTTTTTCTCTGTTAAAGAAATAACATGTACGTAGAACAGTTTAGTATTAATTTTGATCATTTGCTAAACCAAAGAAACAAAACTTATAACTTGCCTCCCTAATTCTTCAATTTCTTTGCTTATTTTATCAAGCTCTTTGATGGCGCTAAAATCATTCAGGCTTGAAACAACGCTTCCAGCAGCTGTCCCGTCCTGCTAAAAGGAAACCACAACAAGCCTATTTAATATTTATTCAAAGTTACTGTCTAAAACTTGTATCAACCTTTTGTCTTTTACCCACAAAACTGAGTTTATGTTGATGAGGTCAATTAGTCGTAAACAAGACAAACGCACCATGAGGCGTCTGTAAAGCTTAACGCGGTTAGCAATGGATCCCATTGGCCTAAAACCACTTAAAACCTCATGGACACCTTAAGAAGCAAGCATATACATTCTTGTGGCTTTGGTTTCCCTTGTACTGTAGATATATACTGCGGAAGCAATGAATAATACTACGTTATGTAAACTTTGAAAGGTATCCAAGGGGTTTCGGGCCGATGGAATCCAATGCTAACCGCTGAACACCGCACTCGGCGACATTTTGCATCGATTCGTTGCTGGGACCCATGGCCGGCTACAGTAGTTCCCTCGCGTGATGAACCCATAAATACTGTTGTGGTGACGAAGATTTGGTTGCAGTGACATACCGCATAAATCTAAGCTGGATTTATTTCGTGGAATGAGTCGCAGAGACAAAGTAACCGTGTGCACCTTTCATTCGATCTGTCCCCACTACAAAATCAAAACGGACCAAAAAGAGAGCATCATTCATGACCTTTGATTCTCGTGACTTGCCGCAGTGTCAGTACACCCGACAAGGTTTTCCTCATGACTTGTCGTCGCAGCACGCCGCCGATCCCCACCCAAACCTGGTGATTCTTTTCCCATTCCACACCCCTCCCCAGATTAACACTAACATACCCTGTCTTCCCCTGTGGCCGTGGGCGTGGAAGCACTTCCATTTCTCATTGAGGGCGGTACCATCTCTGCACTAAGAGTCTGTGGTGGATCGACACCCATGACTTTTTGATGAATAAGGTACATGGCCAACGAAAACTGTTCAGAATTCAAACGGCCTTGGTTTGTTACGTCACAGAGCCCCCTTAAACAGAGATTAAAGTAATTAGGTGGAGTATAATCGTCCGGGTGAGCGTAGTCTTGAATAGGACTGATGTTGACAGTGACTGACGTTTCGACAACCTGTGCGGTAGTCATCTTCAGAGTCACCGGCTTTGACTCGGAAGACAGCTACCGCACATGTACTTCTGAAATGACTCCTAGGTTCAAACCTTTCACGTAGATTAAAGTGTTAATTATGTATTTCAGTAGTTTTGGGTCACAACAGGCCTTTTACGAGTTCCAAAACCCCTCACTTCCAAAATTAGGCCACGTGAAAAACCTTTCATGTGACCACGTTTCCTTGAATGAGAATAGAAATCATTTTCATATCAGACTAAGCACTAGCCATCGTTTTGAAAAAAGGTTTAAGGTACGGAAATGGCCTATTGTATCACGTTATTTTCAGTTCCAGGGATAGGATTAGAATATAACATTTAGATCCTTCATCTTTCCAGTTTCGCCCTCTGTTTTTAATCGCAAATACACTAAACAGGATAGTAGGACGCACAACCTCGTCCCCAGCGCCCTGAGGACGAGGTTGTAGGACGCACAATGACCACCTGCAGCATTTTTAGAGCTAACGTAAAGTTTGATTGTTTGCAGTTTAGCAGAGAACAAACGAGAAAGACAACTATCTTACCAGATGTGAGCAAGCACTTGCTGCGGAAGTCCGGATGCCATAAATATGTTTTTAACTTCCTCTCCTGTAAGTCAACAAAGAAGGGAAATTTGGGTGTTTCTTGG